TGAGGACCTCGTCCTCTCCCGGGGTGTTTGCAGGGCCTCTCTTCCCGCCAGTCTGCACCCATCTGTGTCCCCCAGTAGCTGAGCTGCCCTCCTACCCACCACCCACTTGGGGACACTTCATTCTGTCGCACTTCGGTTTACCTGTCCTTCAAGCCTCTCATTCCTCAGGGAGCCGGCCGGCCCTGGGCTGGTCGTGGGGACTCTCTTGACACATCATGCAAGTCCCATGATGGGACTACCAGTGAGGGAGGGGGGTCAGGGGGCCAGGGGCTCTGCAGTGTATGGGGGCAGTGCCCGTTGGGTATCGGGGCTGTACGTATAGAAGAGACATCAGTGGCAGAAACCTGGCTCTACCTCCCAGTTCTGGACCTTGGCCCATATGCCTGATTGTGCCTCAAGTCCCCCCTCAGCAGCGAGTGTTTCTCGTGGGATTCACGTTAGGGTTCAGTCACCTCAGTCAGTCATCCCCAGTCCTCCTCAGAGCACCTCACACTGTGCTCCCACGGGGAGGCAAAGCATCGTAGAGGCCTCGTGATTACCTTGAGGTTTTGTTGTTGTTGTTCTTGTTTTGAGACAGGGTCTCACTATATAGCCCTGGCTGGCCTGGAACTCTCTATGTAGACCAGGCTAGCCTGAACTAAAAGAGATCCTCCTGCCTCTGCCTCCAGAGTTCTGGAATTAAAGGTGTGGGCTGCTCTGCCAGGCCTTCTTCTCTTTCTCTGTCTCTTTGCAGTCCTGAGGGCTGGATGCAGGGCCTCGTCCAGGCCAGACAAGCACTCTTCCACTGAGCTACATTCATCCCCAGCTCCAGAGTGGCTGTCTAAATTCATCTTTCTAGCCCCTTGGCAAGCTCCTACGCGGGCATCCAGACCCATACAAAGGTCACCTCCCCCGGGAAGTTCCCTGGGACTTCAGCCAAGTGCTTTGCTTTAGAGGGGAAGGAGTCCGTAAGTGGCAAATCTGACTAGGTGAAGACCTGGCTGCATACCCTCCAAAGTGGGGTATCAGATTTCCAGGGGTACATCCCGCACCAAGTGTGTACAAGGCTCTATGTTCTAGTTTCAGTGGCAAACCAAAAACAAGGCCAGCCTGCTGCGGGGTGTAGGGTTGGTCTGCCACCACCTCTGGTCACACTGCGCCCTCTCCGTCTCTGCACCTTGCTCTCTGCCTGCTGGGATCCTAGGCCCACTTTCCCCATACTTTCCCCCTAGGCTTTGCTCCAGGGGGACCAGTTACGTGCATCATGGGTGGGCTCTGGAAGCACTCACTAAGTGAAAGCTTGAACAAATGATCCAGGTCCTTGTGGACCTAGCTTTTGGCCTTTGAGTGCCTGAGGTTTTAGCCAGCAGACCCCCTCCGGCAGCCTTTGCCAGGCTTGACTGGGGGGGGGGAGGGGCGGGACAGCTGGGGAGGGCAGTGGAGAAGTCAGTAAAAGGCCCTACCTTGCCAGAGGCCCGGCGCTTTGCATCTCACTCTGATCTTGTAGGAATGCATTCTGGGTTTTAACAAGGCTGGGGAAAGGAAGCCAGGCCTTGGCAGTTGGCAGCCGGGTCCCAGGAGAGGGACTGTCATGCACACATGAAGCACCCTGAAGGCCCACCCAAGGCGGTCCAGGGCCTCTGGCTGTTGAGCCGAAGGAAAAAACAGAATGCCCGCCCCAGGGTCCAGAGGCTGGGTCAGGCCCAGTCCTGACCCTGCTTTGCACCTAGTTGATTCTAACCAGAAGGACCTTCCTAGGAGGAGGCCCCCACCTTCAGCACAATCAGGACTGTCTTCTGTCCCCAACCCTGGGCTGTGCGGTTTGGGATCCCCCCCCCCCCCCCCCCCCCCC